CCCAATTACCTGAGGTGGACACTCTTGGTGCACCCTTTTGTGGGCTTTGTGCACAGTCTTGTTGTAGTTAAGCCTTGATTGTTGTAGGTATCACTGGGAGGAGTTGACCTCCAGGCCAATTGGCTATGAGAATCAGCTGTGTCTACGGTGGGAGAACTTCTGTGCTAAAGACACCCTTATGAGGCAAGACTTGCTTCAGTGGGGCTTTGGTGCTCACTGAATCTGCCCCCTGAGTGTGTCCCTTATGGATCTGAGGAGTTGTAATTGGATGGTCCCACTCTGACCACTGGGTACACTGGCTCTTGGATCTAAGGAGGTGCTAATTTAGCCTCTGCCTGATACTACCCAGCAGGAGCTACGAAGAGATCTGCAGATTCCCCTTCCTTGTTTGGGGTTTGGAGGTGCCCAAATGAGGCCCAGCTGTGAAGCAATGCAAGCTGCTGTGGGGCCTTGGGTCTTCTCTTGGAAGTTCTGGGTCTGTCTGGCCCAGCTGCAGTTTGTTAGGTAATTTTCAGATTGCAAAGGGCCAGGGCGTTCATATGCAAAACCTCTGCCGCAGCTTGGGTGGGGCGGGGTCTCAGGGAATCAGCAGGGCGGAGCAAACAGCTATGGCTGATCCTCAGCCCTGCCCTAAGGGACCCCACGTCTCAGTGTCCCGGTAATTGCTGCAAGTACCCCCGAGAAAAAGCCGCCCTCGAGTTCCAAGTTCTGCCCGCTGCCAGACAGTCCAGTCTCTCCCTGTATGAGTCTGGTTCCCCAGAGACTCACCCAGAACTGGAGTTCAGAGGAGTCAGGGGCTTGTCACTCCCTCCCGATTCAAAAAGACAGCCGCGTCCTCAGTCGCCAGCCCCTGCCGCATGCGCCTCCGTACCCCTGCACTTCCGCAGCTCCTCTGAGTCTCAGTGTACTTTTCTCTTTCCTACTAGTTGTAGAATTTCCACTCAGCCAGCCTTCCTGTAGTTCTGGATGATGTCCGTTTTGTCTTTTAGTTGTATTTTTGAATTTGTTGTGGGAGGCAGCAATTTCCGGTGTTTACCTACGCCACCATCTTGGTTTCTCCCCTCCAGGAAGTTTTTGATTTCTTTCTTGATCTCTTTGGTAATCCCTTCATTGTTTAATAACATGCTATTTCGCCACCATGTGTTTGAATATTTCTGAGTGCTTTTATTTTAGTTGATTTCTAATTTCTTACCATTATGATCTATGAAGATGCTTGATATGATTTCAGTCTTCTTAAACTTATAAAGACTCACTTTGTTTCCTAACATGTGGTCTATCTTTGAAAATGTCCCATTTGCACTTGAGTAGAATGTATATTCTGTAGCTTTGGAGTGAAATGTTCTGAAAATGTAATTCCTTCTCGTCTAGTGTGTTGTTTTGGATCGCTGTTTCCTTGTTGATTATTTGTCTAGAACATCCATCTAGCGATGTAAATGCATTGTTGAAGTCCTCTACTGTGAATGTATTGCTGTCCATCTCTCCTTTCAAATCCTCCAGAAGTTTTTTTATATATTTGTATTGGGTGCATATATGTTAACCAGAGTTATATCCTCTTGTTGTATTGATTTCTTTAGTATTGTAAAGTGGACTTCATTGTCTCTTGTTATGACCATCACTTTGATGTCTATTTTGTCAGATATTATTGTTACTAGCCCAGCTTTTTTTTTTTTTTTCAATTTAATTTGCCTGGAAAATTTTTTCCATCCCTTCACTTTCATTCTCTGTGAGTCTTTTGATCTGAGGTTAGACAGCATAGGCTCATTTTTTCTTATCCATTCAGCTACTCTGTACCTTTTGAATGGAGCATTTATGCCATTTACATTTAAGGTTATTATTGATAGGTACTTATTTGTTGCCATTCTTACTCTTTATGCCTATGTTCTTCTCTTCCTTCTTCTTAAACCATTTCCTTTAGCATGTACTGCAGTGCTGGTTTGGTGGGAATAAACCCTTTTAGACTTGTTTTGTCTGCGAAGCCTCTTTATTTCACCTTCAATTTTGAATGATAGCCTTGCTGATTAGATTAGTCTGGGTTCATTTCCTTGGTTTTCATTTCTTTCTATACTTCATGCCACTCCCTTCTGGCCTGAAGTGTTTCTATTGAGAAATCAGCTGACAGTCTAATGCAGGGGTGGGCAAACTTTTTGACTCGAGCGCCACAATGGGTTCTTAAACTGGACCGGAGGGCCGGAACAAAAGCATGGATGGAGTGTTTGTGTGAACTAATATAAATTCAAAGTAAACATCATTACATAAAAGGGTACGGTCTTTTTTTTGTTTGTTTTATTCATTTCAAATGGGCCACATCCGGCCCGCAGGCCGTAGTTTGCCCACGGCTGGTCTAATGGGAGCTCCCTTGTAGATAACTTTCTGTCTCTCTCTTACAGCCTTTATGATTCTTTGTCTTTAATGTTTGCCATTTTAATTATTATGTGTCTAGGTGTGGGTCTTTTGAGGTTCATCTTGGCTGGGACTCTCTGTGTTTCCTGAACTTAGGTGACTTTTTCCTTTACCAGGTTAAGGAAATTTTCTGCCATTGTTTCTCCAGTTTCTGTATTAGTTGCTTGGATTCTTCTCTTCCTGGTACTCTTATAATGAGAATGTTGTTTCATTTCATGCTATCCCACAGCTTCCTTAAACACTCATCCTGCTTTTTAATTTTTTTCCCCACTTGCTGCTCTGAATGTGTTTTTTTCAACCCTATCTCCTAATTCATGGGTTTGGTCCTCAACTTCTTCTAGTCTACTGTTGAATCCTTCCAGGGTGTTCCTTATTTCAGCTATTGTTCCTCATTTCCAATTGATTCTTATTTATTCTTCCAAACTCTGTTTTCATATTGGTGTAGCTCTCAATAAATTCCTTAAATATTCTCCTTAATTTCCTTATAATTCTCATTACCTTGCTGGTACTTCTCACTGAATTATTTGAGCACCCTTATTGCATTACTCTGAATTCTTTAACAAATTGCTTGCCTCCATTTCATTTAATTACTTTTCTGGCTACTCCTCCTTTTCTTTCATTTGGGGGTTGTTTCTTTGTCTCCCCATTTTGTTGTTCTTTTGTTTCTGTTTCTATGTAGTAGATCAAACTGCTATGCCTCCCAGACTTTGTGGGGTGGTCTTATGTAGTAAGTGTTTTGTGGGACCCAGTGGTGCAATTTCTTAGATCTCCTGAGCTGGTTGCTTTAGGAAAGTCTCTTGCTTGAGTTATTTGGGTTCTCCTGTTGTAGTTGTGTCTTGAATGTTATTGTTCCGTTTGTGGATGGAATCTCCTCTCAGGCTGGCTGACTATGTGGTTCACCCCTGACCATGTGAAGGGAGCAGTTGTGGAGGTGTGGTCTCCCGGTGTTTTCTCTCCTCCCTTGATATAAATCTCCTCAGCTGGAATTCAGTTGGTAATTCCAGGTGAATGTTCTCCAATTTAGTTATATTTCCAGTCTGGCCCTGGGAGGAGGTACATGACAAGTCTGCCTATTCAGCCACCATAATATTCAGAGTATTTCCTTCTTTCATGAGTGTCACAATTTTTTAGTTTACAGGAGTTTTACATAGTTCTTTTACAAACACACAGAACACTTTTATAGATTATTTTATCCTCTCAAGTAGATATTTTACTATGATAAGAAAAAGATTAAGTGTTTTAAAAAATGGTATTCACCGTAGCTTGTTTGGCTCAGTGAATAGAACATCGGCCTGTGGACTGAAGGGTCCCGGTTTTGATTCCAGTCAAGGATACATGCCCAGATTGCAAGCCCAATCCCCTTTGGGGGAGGAGGGGACGTGTGGGAGGCAGCTGATCAATGATTCTCTCTCATCATTGATGTTTCTCTCTTTCCCTCTCCCTTCTCTGAAATCAATAAAAACATATTTTTTTAAATTGTTTTCATATTGAATTATCCAAATATTTGGGATTTAAACTAGTTGCATATTGGATGGTGGTGTTAGTATTGTCAAGAAAACAAAACTCAAAATTCTGGTTGTCTGGGATCAGGGAAATCAGATAGAAGTGGGTTTTGAGCACTGGAAGTTTGAAGTGTGTTCCATGCAGTCTGGAAAGTAGGGTCATAATGACTCAAGGATGAACATCTATGCTGTAGAGACACTTAAAAGAGTATGGAGAAGTATAGCACAGGTAGGCATGCTTCTCTTTTTTATCTTAGTGCCAGTGAAAGGAAGCATCTGGTTGAGAGAAATTTTTAGGTAGATTTCAGAAAAACTGAGTCAGGATTCAAAAACTGTAAGAACAGATTTTACCTATACCAAGGGGCTGATTGAAGAGGAGCTTTAAGAAAGAACCTATCTCATGAATAGAAGGAAGGATAAACTGGGAATTCAGACAAGAGATGATTTTAACATTGTATGTAAAAACAAGACTATATTTAATTCCTATTCATGTATTTAATTATATGCAAAGGGCATTCAGTTTATACTGGCTTTTCACTTTTAGTAATTATTGATACTGTTATTGTCCAGGATGGCCTGGGGAAGGGAAAAAGAAAAGACAGACCCTAAGGACCCTGTATTTAATAAAGAAACCTTGATCCTTTGGTAGGAGAATTGTGTAATCAAGCAACTCTAAAGTCATTGAGAACATTCTGCCCAAAAGCTTCTCAGAGTTCTGTTTTATTAGCTCTCTAAATCAGTTGAAAATGCTCTCGATTCTGTACCTTGAGTTAGTTAAAACTGGGACTGAAAACCATCAGTCATGAAACTTTCCAAAATTAAATGTTTTCTTAGGGCCAACAGGCTGTTTTTATTTCTGGGAGTTTTGGAGTTGTGGTAGAGATATTTCTCATTTAAGTGTTATACAATGACATCAAATTATTTTATTTGCCTTAAAGCTCCTGAACTGCTTAGCTTTTATTTGATCTATGTCAATCCGACCATCAGTTTGATGATAGAAGCTTTACATCTGCCATGCAAGTTTTTTTAAGACATGCCAAGATAGAGATTTAGTTACACTCTTTTTAAAAATAAATACCAATATATTTTGTATTTCAGGGCATTTGATGTAGAACTGCTTTACATAGCACAGTTCTTTAAAATTCCAATAGCAGAAATTGCTGTCAATTGGACTGAAATTGAAGGTGAGTACTATATATTTAACTGATCATAAGAGGGGTGGGGGAAACATGAGAAAATACAGTTGCCCAGTAAAGTCAGCTGGCTCTAATGTTCCTCCTTCCTCCATCAGGGCCTCCTCAGCTATCTTAACTCTGAGCAGCAGTTCCATAGAGCATACTGCCTACTGCCTTACTGCTTTCTATGTTTTTTCAGTCTTGGGGTCTTCGGTAGGCCTACTGTCCTGCCCAAGAAATTCAGTAAAACTAGCAACAAAAGACAAGATCTGACTGAGGTTAGAAGGAAGGTGTTTTTTTTTTTTTTTCTTTTTCTTTCTTTCTTTCTTTCTTTTTTATTTTTTTTTTGGACTACAGAAATTTATTTTTCACAGTTCTGGAGGCTAGAAAGTTTGAAACCAAGGTCTGGCAAGAAAGGTTTCACTCTGAGGCCTCGCTTCTTTTTTTTTTTTTTTTTAATATATTTTATTGATTTTTTACAGAGGGAAAGGGAGAGGGATAGAGAGAAACATCGATGAGAGAGAAACATCGATCAGCTGCCTCCTGCACACTCCCTACTGGGTATGTGCCCGCAACCAAGGTACATGCCCTTGACCGGAATTGAACCTAGGACCTTTCCGTCCGCAGGCTGACGCTCTATCCACTGAGCCAAACCGGTTAGGGCTGAGGCCTCTCTTCTTGACTTGTAGGCAGCTGCCATCTTGCTGTGCTCACATGATTTATTTCTTGTGCACACACAGGGAGCTTGATTGTCTTTTGAGATAAACTATTATTTTTATCACCATTTTTTTAGTATTGTATTATGTCATCACTCAGTGATGGCCATATTGCAGGGCCATCTGAAATTTTCTCTTTAGATCAGTGATGGCGAACCTATGACACGCGTGTCAGAGGTGACATGCGAACTCATTTTTTTGGTTGATTTTTCTTTGTTAAATGGCATTTAAATATATTAAATAAATATCAAAAATATAAATCTTTGTTTTACTATGGTTGCAAATATCAAAAAATTTCTATATGTGACACGGCACCAGAGTTAAGTTAGGGTTTTTCAAAATGCTGACACGCCGAGCTCAAAAAGTTCGCCATCACTGCTTTAGATCCTCCCAAATTTCAGTTCACTTCAGGATGTTTAGTTTTTCTTGTTTTTCACAGAAAATACTTTAACATTGAAGATGTTTAATTCTTATGTCCATCACTTATAAATAAGGTGGGTGTGTTCATTAACTTGATTTTGGTAATCATTTTACAATATATACGTGTATGAAATGATTACATGGTACACTTTAAATATATTTCCATTTTATTTGTCAGTTACACCTCAGTAAAGCTAGGAAAAAATAAAGAGAAAGAAGCCAGAGCACTTGGCCTTAAATCTGAAAATTGTCAGTTTTATTAGTATTGTGATCTTGGCCATGTCACTTTACCACCCAGTATCCATGACCTAATCTGTAAAATTGCAGGGGTGACAGGGAGGCTCTATTCCTGATATACTAAAAAGACAGTGAAATCAAGAAATATAAAATATTAAAACATGCTCAGATGTGTATTTTATATAATTAGCTGGGCTTGGCACATTGCCATTTGGATATTACAGGACAAGAAGATGGCCTTGCTAGGGTGGCATTTATTTTAGCTGATTTTAGCCTTTGGTAGAATTAGGACAAAAATTAGGTTTTTGTCTTAGATTTCATATTGCAGATTATTAATCTAGACTTGTATTATTTGTGGAGGTATACTTGATTCTCTGTAGTACATATGAGCCTGAAAAATGGTGTTTAAAACATGAAAATTTCTCCCCCTTTCAAATGAACAGATGGACATAAGTGTTTAACATACATACATAATATAAATAAAATTAAGGTGCCTAGAAGCTCCCAAAAGTCATGTAGACTGACTTCTAAAATATAATTGTAAATGGATATATATTTTCTGAGTTTAAATCAATTTATTTTTAATTGTTATTTAATCGCAGGTTCTAAATTAGTTCCATTTTGGAGCTGGCTACAAATGGGCAAGGACCTACTTTTTATACGACTCCGATATTTGACTGGTGCCTGGAGGCTTGAACGAACCAGGAAAATGAATTAGGTTATTTGCTATTTTTTATTGTATTATGTATTATTGTAACATTATTTCATTTGAATTAAAATTTTAAATAAAGCTGAGATAAGCCTATGCCATTGTCTGCCTTTTGATAATTTTCAAGAATTCACTGCCATAAGTAAAAATTTTTATACATCTTTTGGACAAAAACAAATTTTAAGGTATTTGTAACAAAAGTCAGATTTTCTTTAGCTTTAGCAATTCTGTTTATTTAGATTATCACTATGAGTCTGAGAAATATAATTTTTAAGCAAGACCGAAGCAATTATTTCTGCTCTAAGGTACCTTGCATAATTCTCATGAACTTAAATATAAACCACAACCATGTAACAGTGTTTAGAGATTTAAAAATAAAGTTAACAGCTCTGGCCAGGTGGCTCAGTTGGTTGAAGCATGGTCCCATGCACCAAAAAAGTTTGCGGGTTTGATTCCCAGTCAGGGCACATATCTAGGTTGCAGGTTCGATGCCTGATTGGGGTGCATACAGTAGGCAACCAGTCGATGTTTCTCACATGGATGTTTTTCTCTCTTTTTCTTCTTTCCTCTCTAAAATCAATAAAAACATATCCTCAGGTGAGGATTTAAAACAATAACAAAATAAAGTTAATATATATTTATTTTATTTTTTAAAGGCATGGAAATACGTGATTTATTTTTTATTTTTATTTTTTTTTTAAATATATTTTATTGATTTTTTACAGAGAGGAAGGGAGAGAGATAGAGAGTTAGAAACATCGATGAGAGAGAAACATCGATCAGCTGCATCCTGCACATCTCCTACTGGGGATGTGCCCGCAACCCAGGTACATGCCCTTGACCGGAATCGAACCTGGGACCCCTCAGTCCGCTGGCCGACGCTCTATCCACTGAGCCAAACCGGTTTCGGCTATTTTTTAAATCATTATTTTTCAATTACAGTTGATATACAAAATTATATTAGTTTCAGGTACACACATTAGACAACTTACTGAGTGATCATCCAATAAATCTCATCCCATCTAACACCATACATAGTTATTAGAATATTATTCATTATATTCCCTATGCTATACTTTACATCCCGATGACTATTCTGTAAAAACTAATTTGTACCTTTTAATCCCTTTTTCATCCATCCTCCCAAACTCCTCCCATCTGGCAACCTTCGAAATGTTCTTTGTATCTACAAGTCTGTTTCTATTCTGCTTCATTTGTTTTGTTTTGTTTTGTTTTGTTTTAGATTAAAGTGTTGATAGATATGTACTGTCATTTTACTGTTCATATTTTTCTGTCTATATTTTCTTTTATTATTGTCATTTTTTATCCTTTTTTCTTCTTCTTTCATAATACCCTTTAACATTTCATGTAATACTGGTTTGGTGATGATGACCTTTACTTTTTAATTGTCTGGAAAGCTCTTTATACATTGTTCAATTCTAAATGATAGCTTTGCTGGGTAGAGAAATCTTGGTTGTAGGTTCTTGCTTTCATCACTGAATATTTCTTGCCACTCCCTTCTGGCCTGCAAAGTTTCTATTGAGAAATCAGCTGACAGTCTTATGGGAGGACTCTTTGTAGGTAAGTAACTGCTTTTCTCTTGCTGCTTTTAAGATTCTGTCTTTAACCTTTTGTATTTTAATTATGATGTGTCTTGGTGTAGGCCTCTTTGGGCTCACCTTATTTGGGGCTCTCTTTACTTCCTGGACTTGTATGTCTGTTTTTTTTTTACTAGATTAGGGGAGTTTTCTGTCATTTTTTCAAAAGGGTTTTTAATTTCTTGCTCTCACTCTTCTCCTTTCAGCACTCCCATAATGCAAATGTTGGTACCTTTGAAGTTGTTCTAGAGCAGTGGTTCTCAACCTTCCTAATGCCACGACCCTTTAATACAGTTCCTCATGTTGTGGTGACCCCCAACCATAAAATTATTTTCCTTGCTACTTCATAACTGTAATTTTGCTACTGTTATGAATCGTAATGTAAATATCTGACATGCAGGATGTATTTTCATTGTTACAAATTGAACATAATTAAACCATAGTAATTAATCACAAAAACAATATGTAATTATATATGTGTTTTCTGATGGACTTAGGCGATCCCTGTGAAAGGGTCGTTTGACCACCAAAGGGGTCGTGACCCACAGGTTGAGAACCGCTGTTCTAGAGGCTTATACACTATCATTATGGGGCAGGGTGGGGGGGGGGAAGGGGGCTTTTTCTTTTTCTTTTTCTTTTTTTTTTTTTTTTTGCTGTTCTGATTGGGTTTTTTGATTCCTTATATTCCAAATGACTGATTTGATTCTCCACTTTATTTACTGTTGATTCCCTGTGAGTTATCTTTATTTCAGTTAGCATATCCATCATTTCTGACTGCTTCTTTTTTATGATTTCCATGTCCCTTTTTATGCTTTTGAAGCTCTCACTGATTTCATTGAGCATCCTTATAACCCAGCGGTTCTCAACCTGTGGGTCGAACGACCCTTTCACAGGGGTTGCCTAAACACATATATATTGTTTTGTGATGAATCACTATGCTTTAATTATGTTCAATTTGTAACAATGAAATCGGGCGTCACCACAACATGAGGAACTGTTTTAAAGGGTTGCGGCATTAGGAAGGTTGAGAACCACTGTTACAACCAGTGTCTTGAACTCTGCATCTAGTAGATTACTTGTCTCCATTTTGTTTAATTCTTTTTCTGGAGTTCTGTTCTTTCATTTGGGACAGAACAGAACTTTCATTTTATTTCCTTATTTTGGTAAACTCCCTGTGATTTTTTTTCTATGTATTAGGTAGATCTACTACATCTCCCAGGCTTGGTAGAGTTGCCTTATTTAGTAAGTGCCCTGTAGGGTCCAGTGGCACAGACCCCGATCACTCAAGCTGGACATTCCAGGTGCACCCCCAAACCCCATTATGTGGGA